CAAAAACTCTTCACGATGATGCTGAGACAGGGATGTACAGAAGGAAAAGGAAGTGCGAGCGGCCAATTTCTGTCGCAAATGCGTTGTGTGTGTGTGTGTGTGTGTGTGTGAATGTGGAAAATACTGAATATGCAAGATATGCCAGGGATGAACATGTGATCGTCGGCATAAAAGTACGAGTCAGGACTCCTTACATGTTGGGCATTCCTGCACCCTCGCCACGGATTTGTTGCATCCAGATTCCATATGGAACTGCAGAGATCCATACAAGTGGAGCGGGAGCCAATTCTTCTGCTATCTCCCCCCTGATTCTCGAATCATCATAATATTGGCGAAATGTTTTTATTGGAAACGGCCTTCTTCCAGTCGAGAGAAGATCAAATGTTGGGCTCGGGTAAATGATTTTTTGCATCGATGTTTGAGAGGGGTCGAGTCATACATACATACGTACCCATTGCTCGTTTGATTGTTTGCATTGGAATTTGAACCCTTGCTTGCCGCATTTCCTACTCTCTGAATGCAGACATAGCTACTTGCTCGCTTGCAGCTTGCTCGGTTACTTATCAGATGACAATAAGAGACAACAAAAAGCAAACATGTCGGCTCCACATATGCAAAGTACGAGGTCATTCAGGAGTTAGGAGAATGCCTTTTGCACGAGTGTGCGGTGCGACGTTTCTTGTCGTCCTGAGAATATAATGGGGTCCATGACGAGGACAAAGGTGAGTCGCGAGTCGCGAGTCAATACCCTTGAGTATTCCGTCGATTTGCTTGACCGCTGTTGTTTCGAGAAATATTGGAAGAGTAGTTTTGTTACCGCCGTACCCTTTGGTGTTGATGTTGGGAGAAAGCTCTTCTGTTGGAGTGCATACATAGCAAGTAAGGCATCGTATGGACAAACAATTGGCTAAGAATACCTCACTTTTCACCCCTGGGTGTATCTTGAGATATGCGAGCAAACATTCAATGCCACCACCCCTAAATGGTGGAGCTTTGCAATTGTGCTCGCTTTCGCACTCAGCATTGTCGGAGCTTTCGGCACAACGATGGTGTTGATCATAATGACCGTCTACTATAGTATACACATTTAGGCGGGTAATGAGTTGCATCTAAAATTCACCCATTGTGGATAGTACTTTGAAAGGGGTTCGTCTACGAGGAGATGGAATGAGAGTATTCATCACGTTTCTTTGCCACCCCTTATATCTCTGTATTGCACATCTCCGGGAGATCGATTCGTATGCATTGATATATTCGCCACATGATAGTGCACGAGAAGGAAGAGAGACCGTGCAAGAAAGCATTTTGGTTCATATCATTCTGGCACACTTGAGTAGTTAGACGCCGGCGCATTGGATACACAATCGCAGTATAGTACACATGTCTGCTTCGAGCAGACCTCTACTTAATCCAACAATCTATTAATTCTCAAAAATTCCATCAACCTTAAAAAAAAGCCGAACTGTGACTTGATCTTGGTGAATTGATCTTATATACGGTGTATAGTGACATTTAGCGTGGCTGAGATAATGAATGATACGTATCTGGGAATTTATCCAGATTACCTCGAGGCTTGTGAGATGTGAGGTGATCGAGGCGCGAAACTTTTGTTTGAGGAATTGGGGCGATAATGTAGGTTATTGGAGTGGAATGGGGTGTGATATAATGTGATACAGATAGGAGATTCTATAGAATTGAGCCGATGAATTTGCGGTGATAAATACATGAAGAGTGTCGCATGTGAAGCACAGAGGGGAAAGGGAGGGATGCCCTTATGTATGAAGATAGACAAACTGCATCAGATCTCCAAGGTTTCGGATCTGCTTCTCTTTGAGGATTTCAAAAGGCTTTGATATAGCGACTGAGATGCCGAGGCTGATGCCTATCCTACGTTGTTGCTCTGGGGAATGAGGGGCGGGGAGAGGGGTTGTTATACATATGCCTCTCTCTTCACCACTTTTCTAGTATACTCGAGGCCTCTAGCATCTCCCTTCCCGTGCAACGATCCTTTTTTTCTCTCCTAATTCAGCGCAGGGTTCTTCGGTCCACTCGATGTGTTTTCTTGTGTGTGTATATTCATCCCATTCAAAACGTCTCTTCGTCGTCGCTTGCGTTCCTGGTGTCGGGTTCGCTATTATGACATCTTGGATCTTGGTTAGTAGTTTCTATATTTGATGCTCAAGGAGTAATCTTTGATTACCTTGTCTGTTTGCTGAGTTGCCTTTGTCTCCGATATCGTCGACTCCAGGATTTTTGTTTATGTGGTCGAGAGGTAGGTCGATTCTTGATATTCCTTACTCTCCTAAAGAAAGAAGGGATACGAAACAAGGCGGTCGGTTTGAAGTAATGGCGCGAGTATATGTTGAACGGTCCGGATTTGTTGAGCTGAGATTCAAAGTATAATTTGGGGATTTTCGTTGTTTAAGATTGGGTTGGGTGTTTTGATCGAGTGTGCAGGTCATTGCAGAAGATTGGGTAGTTGAAAGGAATTAGATGATTGAAAGGAGTTGGATATTTGAATTGAGTTCAGGGTATCTTCTTTTTGAAGTATAATCTGGAATGTTGAATGTACTGAGCTCGCTGGAATGATAGTACTGAGCGACCCATCGTTTTCATCGTCGTCAGTATCACCACTATTCCTTCCACTTTCCCCCTTCTCCGCGTCGTCGCACGTATTATCACTTGGTCCCCTAGCGGACTTCCTTGTCGGGGTTTATGCCCAGTATATTTCACGACAGTAGTGACCACATCCTCTCGAATTTTCTTCAGAAGATCTCCGAACTTCCTCATGAAGAGTCTTCTCTGACTAAGCTCTAGCAATGTTATACTTTACCTTGGCTGCTGTATCTAAAGGCTTGATTCAATGATGATACATATACCGCCTTCCCGTAAAGTGACGTTTAAGAAAGCCAATCTCTTCACCTGAAGCTTTGAAAACTTGGCAACTATTAATAGCCTGCTTTTGTGAGAAGTCTTTCCTTCAAAACCCTCAGTTCTCAATCATCCGCTTCGTGAAGAGGAGGTGTTATTGCTATTGACATGCAACGAGCACTATTTCTAGTTGAGATTCCATTGTTGGATTGTTCCTTGGTGAATACAGTTCATAAGAAGTATCTTATTGTTTCGAACTGATAGCCACTCAGTGTACAGCGTGACGTGTTGCTTCAAAGGGCTTCAAGTATGAGAAACGAAGCACCATCAATATGTCTCCATACCGGCCTCGTCCCAAACCACAGCATTCCATCAACTGACCTCTGGAGATTTCTTTTTGCACTGGATCTGTTTGCTTTGGTATGAAATTATAACATCAGTCCAACATCAGCTCTCTTCGCCATTTCCAACGTATCCTAATCTTGATTATTCATCGTTGTGGTAATCGTCCATTCACCAGATCCAGATTCTACTATTTCGGCGTGATGTTTGTCACCTCGGTAGAGAAGACTACCAGAATCATATCAGAGTCGTCTTCTCGCCTTTATTCCAATTCCCTTCACGAGCGTTGCGTCAGGGGGAGCATCTTTTCCAATGATTTGCTCCTGCTCGTTCATCTTCTCTAAACACCATCTTACAGCCTGGGAATATCTAAAACAATCGATATTCTCACAGAATTGGCTCTTCCCCTCTCTACGACTGCTATTTTTTCATCATCTTTCGACAATTTGTACTGCCAGACGTGTCGGATTCTGTGGTTGAAAATGCTGGGGAAGATGCCGAATATAGTCTTCCTGACGTTTGAGCTCCAAAATCGAGTATTAGCAGACACTAACCCACATCATTAGTAGTGAATACTTCACTGACTCAGTATATCTATAGCTAATGCTACGCCGACAATGCGATGTGCCTATCTATGTCTAAATGAATGAGATAGTATGAAGAAAGTCATGAAACCTACTGCCCTTCGATACCCTCTGAATTGCCCATGACAATGTCCCGTAGTGCCCAACACTTATAGCATGTGATACCTATACTTTCAAGAAAACTAACACTCATTATCCCAAGTAACTACATACAAGCTATGAATGTTTGAAAGCAGTTCAACATTTCAAATAGTCAAAATTTTCTAGCCAGATTAATAAGAACTTGAAGCTTCTGATTGCTGTACTGCAGCCTGGGTTATTAGGAACCCTGGGCACACTGAGAAGTCGAATGAGGAAAGTCGTTTGCCTAAAGCCCAATAACTAAACCAGATTTACATTATCTTGAATGCACAAAATGAATACAAGCCCCTGCTCAAGCAAAATATGAGTTGCATCAGTTAAGCTCTGATATCACTCTATCAAAGCTTGTCGCCAGTGAATACTTAGCGCGTGCTTAAACCAATGAAGGGCTCACAACGAATCAGAGCGCATGGCCAGGTTTGAAAGTTCAATGTTTAGCCAAACTTTGGGCATCCGGAGAAGAAACACAGGGCTCTAATGGCTAATGGTAGAGAAATGAACCTTTGAGCCGCAGATAGGAGAACCATCTGCTTACTGTCGAAAGCCCCCCGTGATTCGCAAACTGCTTTCTCTTAAGGAGATACTGGTAAACTGAATAAATTGATCATAGCATTGATATAACAATACGTTAGCTAGGATCCACATTGATTCCTGACAATCTGCTACATACGAACATCATGGTGAGACATAAGACACGAGTGGACAATCGCACATAGTGACTAGATCTTTATGGAAGAGAGAGCAATGGAAATATAATATTTGCTACGGCTTGCCCATACGATTCCTAGCCATCTTTGGATGCAGTCTCCGGGTTACTAGCCAATACTGACGAAAGGTCCATCGCCATAAAAGCCATTTATCAATACGGCAGCATAGTTCCTGGGACACCAAACTTACTACCCTATACACATTTGAGCCCGTCTACCAATTTCGTATAAATGATGAAATAGAAAACTGCACATTTAACAACCTGACATTCAAAAATTCGAGACTGAAAGCACTTCAAAGACACCCAGTTCTGCCCAAGGAAATCGAGAACTTTAAACCCACTACTCCAACGCGATGCAGACCAACCACGTTATCGGAATTATAGTTATTGCCTTCATGGCCTTTATGATTTTATTCGGTATAGGCATTTACCACTCTATTCAAGCCATACAGAGACGTCGCTTCCGGGGAGCCCAGCTTCTTGCAGAACCGACGATGAGTGGAACACAAGGGACTCGATCGCTATTTTCCTCGTTAGAATCCTCACATCAATGGAGTCAAGAATCCCGATCGTCGAGTTCGACGCAATCACATTCGACTCGGGCCTCGTCTCAATGGAACGATAAAAGACATCGTGCGACCGAAGCAAGGCCTAAAAGATCTCATAGACTCCCCGATATCATGGAAGAATGGCCAAATGAGGGATTCCGAGGAATTTCACCAGAAGATACCTCCCAAGGAACAGCGGAGTCTCTTTCACAGCTAGAACAAGAGATGCCAGGTTCTTATAACCGATCCATCAGACCCGGTGAACGTCAAGTCGGGCTTGGTATTGCTCATGGAAAGGAACGTCTTGTACATTCATAGAAAGTGTAGATCGATATTGATCACTTTCTCTGACGCATAGAAGGCAGCTCATTTACACAAGCACGTGTATGCTATCATAACGATCCAGATCAGGTTGCCGATTTGCAGTGTAGAGTACCGTCGTTCTATATGTAAATTCTCACTGCGCACAGCTTTCGTCACTTGGCGCTTTTTCTGATGCTGAGATTTCGTGTTTCGTTGTTACATGGCATGTTTTAAGTTTACCTTCATCATCCAGCATTTCCACTTTCGTCTACTTCCAGCATAAATCCAGGGCTCCAATACTCCCACTCTTCGCTTTGTTTGTCGACCCATAGCATACTCTCTGAGACTAAATCTTCAATTGCTGTCTTGGCTCTTGCTCTTGGCCATCGAAGATTTAGCATGAGCATTCCGACGCTAACATATCCAAGTAGCTGCGCAGCTTCCAGAACTGCACTCTGATCTGTGTTAAGTTCCTTGGGTATCGAACGGATATATGTTTTATGGCCAACGGTTATAGTGGAGTAGGAAGAACCCAGGGGTTTTAGGGTAGTCACGGCACGAAGGATATCGTCACTAGGATACAATTAGCATTTGTTATAGTCATAAGAGTAGCATAAGGTGATCAATACTCAGATATTTCAGCTCCACCTTCCATTCGTGTGCTCATAATTCTGTCTTTGACTTCCTTAACACCAATAAGCCCACCATTTTCTTCCCTTGTAGCGCCACAGACTTCCACAACCCTTACTGCCAACTCAAAATAGAAATCATTCACACTTGTACCAAGCATCTGAGCCCAAAAACTTCCACTCCCATCTTTACCTCCAGCATTATTACTACTAGCTAAAGGGTCCACTCCAATAGCTGAACACATGCGTGCAAACTCGGCGCGGAAAGTGGGATTCGAACGTATATCTTTGGCATGAGTTTGAGCAAATTGTTGAAGTAAAGAACGGAAGACTGATAACTGAGTAGCTATAGATGTAGAATGAGAGCTACGAAGAGTATTTCCGTGAGATGCATATTGAGCAGAAGTGATTCGAGACCTATCGAAAGCTGCTAGACCAACACCTTTGCGAGACATCGTAGCAGCTATTTTATGAAATGGATTTGAAGTCTAATTACAGTACAATTGACATTGAATGCTTTGCGATAACGATAAGACATCGGTGTATGATCTGGGGCGATGTCTGGGGCTAACCCGTTTCGGTGTTAGCCCATTTCGCTAATTGAATGGCTCGCACTTTTTGCAAATCGAAAATTACACTCAGAAAGAGAACGTTCCGCGACAACGACGACAACACTTTACAACCACCTCGACAATCTACGCCAAGGTGAGCTCACATTCCGACCTGATTTGATTTGCGATTGTCCTGGAGTTTTGGGGTATGGGGGGATTTGTGCGTTGCTTGGAGGTTCTGGAACTCGACAATAAGTCTTTTTTCGACATTCGATAAAAGCGTCACCAATTATTTTCTACGATACGGAATGGCAAATTTGGAGGAATAAGAAGCTAACATCTATTCGATTTTAAAGGAAAATAATCCAAGATGGCTTCCAACCAGTCTGTTCAGTGTTTTGGAAAGAAGAAGACCGGTAAGAATTTCAATCCGAGTCTCGCTTTTTGGAATTGAATTAAGACTGACATTTTTTCCAATAGCCACCGCAGTTGCCCACTGCAAGGTACGAACCCCTCGACAGGAATCTTACAGATTCACAACGAACCCCCGAGAACTCAAATACTGATTAGAAGGATAGGCCGGAAAGGGACTTGTTAAGGTCAACGGAAAGCCTTTGAACTTGGTTCAACCAGAGGTCTTGAGATTCAAGGTCTACGAGCCCCTCTTGATCGTCGGTCTCGACAGATTCGCCGGTGTTGACATCCGTGTCCGTGTTACCGGTGGTGGTCAAACCTCCCAAATCTATGCTATCCGTCAAGCTATCTCCAAGGCCATCGTTGCCTACTACCAAAAGTTCGTCGATGAGCACTCAAAGAACCAATTGAAGCAAGCCCTCGTTACCTACGACAGAACCCTCTTGGTCGCCGATAACAGACGTTGCGAGCCAAAGAAGTTCGGAGGTCAGTTATTTTCTCTGGCAGGTACGATCGAAATTTTGGCTAATGTTTTCAATAGGTCCCGGTGCCAGAGCCAGATACCAAAAATCTTACCGTTAAATTTGTGGTTTTATGGGGTTGGATTTGGGGGAGTGGTCATGCTGCATTTGCATTGGGCTGGCTTTTTACGCCGGTTTATAGAATTTTAAGCAAGTAAATGCAAGATTCTTCCGAAATGTTCATAATATGAGGAGCATATGGCAATGGAAATGTTGAACAATGCTACGACAACGTGCCGAGGATTCGCAAAAGTTCTGTTATGTGATTATATGGTGATCAGGGGGTTCGCTTCAATCGACCGAAAGCACCAGGTAGAATGGCCATAACTACAAATACACTTCCCATTCCCAGCAAACCTCTACATCTTGATTGTGTGCGACGGATTAATGCACAATGAAAGCATCATGCACAGGTTTCCCGCCTGTTTCATTCCAGATCTCAATGACGTCAAACTTTGTGATTTAAGTCCTTTCTAAGTTTGAATAGAATATCATTCAGAATTACAGTGATGCATGAAGTATATCCTCTATGAAGTCCTAATCCATGTTGAATGTCAGCCAGCCAGCGAAAACTCCACAATCAAGTTGAACCATACGCCCGTTCCCATGCCACCCAAACTTCATTTCTAATTCTTAATGTTTGCCAGAATCGTCTTCATCATCTCGTTCCCTACTCTAGTTGCCTCTGGAAATCTTGGAGCGAAAAACATTTGCGTCTTCTCGAATCTATCTTTCCAACTCTCAAAATCTCCAAACTCCACACACTCGCTCCATCCTCTAGCTGCAAAGGTGAATTCCAAATCGTCAGAACGGAACGTGTTGTCTTCGATAGCAGTATTGATAACTTCATCCAACAATTTCTCATTTCTGAATAGGTATTCCGAGACACCGAGCCAGAGACGAAAGAGAGGTGTGCTACAGATCATATGATCATATGGACTAATGTTGAGACGAGCCCAACAATCAACGATAGCGAGAAGAGAGAGGTGATTGTTTGGTGTTGGTTTTTCAGGCTTTTTACCAAGAGAGAAACGATCTAGTACTTCATCGCGCAAGAGTAACTCATCGGACTTCTTTCGTCCAGCAAAGACGAATCGTCCTGCGCTCTTGATTCGCTCCTCCAACTCTCTTCTGTGCCCTCCAAGCATCAATTTGTATAGATCTGTGACACTTGATGCGTACTCTCTGATCTGTTCTTTGGCATAAGGATTTAGGATGGCGAGACCAGCATAAACGTGCCATTTCTGAGAGTAGATGCGGAGGGTAAGATTAATTTTGACATTTTCGATACCACCAACGTAGCGTGCTATTTCCCATGGGAATTGGAGATTGGCGTGCCAGGCTTTGCCCATGGATAAGAAGGCTGCATGGGTCACGGCTTGGGTATCTGCTGTTATGCGGTCGTGTTGAGAAGCCGAGAGAACATGCTGTTTAGAGCCGAGGCATGAGAGGACATGCTCAACCTTTTCAAAGCTCTCTTGGGATGCACGATGTTTGATCAAAACCTATAATTTTCTTAAGCACGTGAGGTCGTGATATGACTGTGATACTTACGAGTGGTTGACCTCGAGGATCCACGTTGGGACCATGAAGAGAATGGCAAGATACAATGTCAACGTCGGCGGGAAGATACTTTTCAAAGGCGGCTATCTCAGGAGCTTTGCAAGAAGTTTGTCCTCCGACTATGGCACCTTGCTTGGTGGCTACACAGGGTGTTAGAAAATGAAGGTGACGGGATCATGTTAAGCATACAGGGACCATATTCAGCGACGACCTTGCCGATTGCGGCAGCTTCGACATTATAGATGGTGTAATCACTTGCTCTGGAAACGAGATGGCCATTGGGAAGAATTGTAATTTGTTTCTATGGACGTCTCAGCACAAGCTGCAGGACAAGAACTATCTAAACGCTGGGTATTTACTCTATCTGCAAACTCTTCACACAAAGCTTCATATTTGTCCTCCCTATCGCAGGCGTTTACTCTGCCCCGAGAATATCAGTAGTGGTCGTAGATTAAACATTGTAACTATAGATTTATTGTTAGCTTCTGCGATTCCAGAATGTAACAAAAACTGCAGAAGTAGTTTGATTGATTCAGACAAAATAAAATAAGGTAGCTGAGATTTTTCATCATTGAAAGCCAGCTTCCGACCTGGTACCAGAATGGTAGTCAGGTCATCTGAAGGCGATACTCGAGCCAAATGCACTCAGGTCATCATTATAAGAGGAATGAGGGTAAGAAAAAAGAGTGTGCTTACCATTGCAAAAGCGGGCTCAACGAAAACTCAATTGAGGGAATTTACCTCCATCCAGCATCGCTGAGCCTGCGGGCATACATCTTGCCCATATCACCCATACCAATAATACCGATGACAAAATTGTCCATCTTTCCCTCCAGCTTGGACTTGGTTGAAGTCGCCATTGTACGTGATACTAAACCAGCAGCTCCGGCAAACTGTGTATTTTCAATAACCTTCGTAAGTTCTCAAAACCGAGGCTAATGGTCTGAATTCTACACGATATGAAAAATCGGAGAATCTCAGCGCATGGAAAATATTGTTGTTGTGATTGTGTATGAAAGAAAAGTTCCAGTTGCGCGACGGAAACTTTATGCCTTTTTTTTTAAAGCCCCGTAACGCTAAGGAAAGCTAGCCACCATTCCTATTTCAGATTAGCGCGCACAAATTCGCCAAATTTTGGAATTCGAATCTCTACCCGTTCATTTTGAAAACCTCTGATATTTTCGAAAACTTCGTCGATCAATCCTTCAGCAACTAACCGTCAACATGCCTCCAAAGAAAGCAGCACGCCCAGCGCAAGAGAACATCAACCTTGGTCCTTCGATCAGGGAAGGTAAGCAATTTTTAATTCCTGGAGGAATTTGATATGGATTGCTAACCCCGCTGTGCAGGTGAACTCGTTTTCGGTGTCGCCCGTATTTTCGCATCTTTCAACGATACCTTCGTTCACGTCACTGATCTTTCGTACGTACCCCCCAGCAAAACTTGATAATAGGGAATTTGGTGTTATGATTCCACACATTGCACATTTTTGGAACGAAAAGGTTCATAGGCTGACTTTCTGGGTGATTCCAGTGGCCGCGAAACCATCTGCCGTGTTACCGGTGGAATGAAGGTCAAGGCCGATCGTGACGAGTCTTCTCCATACGCTGCTATGTTGGCTGCTCAAGATGTTGCTACCCGCTGCAAGGAATTGGGCATCACTGCTCTCCACGTCAAGATCCGTGCTACCGGAGGTAAGAACACATTCGAGAATTCCTCAAATTGCAGCAACAAATCCTAATGCCAATTCTTTACAGGTAACGGAACCAAGACCCCAGGTCCAGGTGCTCAATCTGCTCTCCGTGCCCTTGCCCGTACCGGCATGAAGATTGGCCGTATCGAGGATGTTACCCCAACTCCATCCGACAGCACCCGTCGCAAGGGAGGTCGCCGTGGTCGTCGTTTGTAGACGTGTCAATTCTTTGGCTACACGCATGGAGCAGAATATGGGTTTTATCGTGCAATTGATGACAACTACGCGGGGAACGGCATTTACTGCCTGGTCTCCATATCTGAAATCTGAAATCTGGGCTTGGATCGACCTTGTCTCATTTGTCACATAAGCGCTTTAGCAAAGTGCAGCCATGAATATCACGAATTTTCAAATGACTTCAATCAAATCGCGCCTTCCCATTACATGTGACAATTGTGTTTGTATATTTGATTAATCGCAAATGTGTACGAAAGTGCCCTTCTTGAATGTCAATCCTAATATACACCGCTGAATTATCCTTGCTGAAATGACCCCTTTGTAATGCCAAGTAGTCCTCCATTGCAGAACTTCTTAAACCATGCCACATCCGTCAATATGAGCCTCCTCAGAACATCATCTCCCATTGCACCTCGACCTAGATACACTCTCTATGCCAGCCTTGTATAATACAACCCAAAACCAAGCCATTATTTCATCCATTCGTAAAGGGTATCCAGTGATCATAATGTCAAAGAAAGCCATTAAATCGTAAGATCGTAAGTATGAGCTCTTGGAGAAAGCGAGAACTCAAGAAGTCGTAATTAAAAAGGTTGTGGTAACACACTTGCTTCATCCTGTTTCTCATGGAAAAATCAGGGGAGCTGAGAATTGAAAATTCGAAAAGAAAAAGCCGAGGAATGAGAAATTGGAAAAAGAGTCGGGAAAAGGAAAGCCGAATACAAGAAGAGTCGAAGATTAGGATACATTTGAAAGAGCCCACGAGAAACCGGAGCGACTAATACGGTTGGTCTTGGACTTCTTGGGTTTGTCAGATTTGCGACCTAGAGACGCAACACGAAGACTTGGTTAGATTATTGGTGGAACGGAAAGATGATGGGGAAGCAGGGAGGAGGCCGCAAATGCAGGAGATGGTATCGGAGACAAGTAGTGTTGGACAAGAACTATGTAATAAGTAATGTGAAGTACAGGCAGTGCGTGGCATGATTTGAATTGCTACAAAATTATTCGATCCTTCTCAAGTCCTTCTTCATCGAGATCTACTATCATTGGCGCGTACTCACCTCGTTCATCCTCGTCTTCGAAATCCTTGAGCTCTGCATCAATCATCTCTCCGTCCTCCAGCTGAAATTTTCCAGACCTGAGATAATTTCCTCGTAGATCCCAGCCCCACTTCCACAGCCACGACTCGAAGGCTTCGAATGCCTTGCCTACCTCCTCTTGCTCGCGTGTAATGTTAGAACCGTAGGAGAGGAGTTGTTCATTCAAGCGGGACTTGAACTTGGTAAGAATGATCTTCAAATCGTCGCCAAGATGGGAATCATGATCGAAGATACTGGTGTCGAATCCCTCTTCATCATACATGAACTGGGCATGGACGGCGGTAATGACCTTGCGGAAGAAAACTGGGTGATCCATTGAAAGACGATAGGCTCCGAATAGCTTGCTGATGATGATACCCCACTGTTCCATGCACGCAAGATTGCCGAGGATCATTCCAGTAATGTAGCAGAATTGTAACTCTCCAATAATCTCATCAGAGTCCTCATATGTGCAACGTCCGATAGCTTCAACAATATAAGACGTACTATCGATTGCTTGCTCGGTGCGCTCGCGACCTGAAGATGATTCTGAGAAGGTACGGGCACTTCTTGGAAAAACGAAGTTTAGAAATTCGTCTCCGTCGAAATTTGTACTGCCCCCCTTAACATCACGAGGTGCGCTTGAAGCCTGTAGCTCTGTAGTCTTGATGTCATGACTAGACGAGACTTTCCAACTATTCCACTTGCCACCTGTGACTTTCTTGAGGTAGGGGTGCTTGATGCAGAAGGTTAAGCGACGCCACTTGTCAGTGTCATCGATACTATCAGCAGTAATTGGGGAACTTGGCGAGCCAACGGGAGTTGACGACGTAGAAATAGAGGGGACGTGATCTGGAGTTGGCGAAGCACCCAAGTATGGCTCGAGCTTGTTGACAATCTCGGGGACGCTTGCCTTTTGAATGCGCTTTTCGGCTTCGCTAAGCTCTTCCTCTAAAAACTCGTGGTAACTATCCCATCTCAAGACATGAATGTCACCAGATTCATCCGAGGCCAACTTCATTGTCATCAGCCAAAATCCGGTTCGTGAAGATCCATTGCCGGACCCACCCCAAAAAAAGTGAGCACCCGCCGGGATCTGCTTGACGCCCTCAAGTGTTCCCTCAGTCTTAATGGTATAGGCCTTCGTATCATACCCAAAAATTGTACCGACTGGAAGGTTTCGAATGATGACCACATCACCATGCTCCAAAATTTCGTGATGCTCTACACCACGCTCTCTGGTTGGCGATGGGGAGTGGACTCTTAACGTGCCAAGTGGATAGCTCCCAACCACATTGACAGAAGTGACCGACTTTTCTGATTTCATTGATAAACCAGAAGAATGCGAATCTGATTTCAGCAGTGTACATTTGATAACTTCTCCAGCATTACTTGCGTTAGAATCACCACGCGATCTTCTCTGTCCATCATCGCCATGGGTGATAGCAAGTGACGAAAAACCCAGTCTTGGACTGCTTCCATTGGACTTGGTTGATAATTGACCAGAAAGGGCTGACACATGTGATTTGGCGGTCGAAGGACTTCTTTGAAGAGAAATCTGATGTTGAATAAAAGAAGGGTCAGATCTTGTTGTTGATTCTTCGATCTTAGTTGTTTCAGAGATCGACTCGTCTGTAGTAGTTGGAGAAGAATTATTCAAAATTGGGTCATTAACAAGAAGATCTTCACCCATGTTTGCCATTGTGAAAGTTCCTGCAATGAAGCAACCTGTAGATTGTGGTATTTGTGAATAACCAATTTTGGAAATTTAAGTGGGTGGACGGTCTCGACCTCACAAAATAATTACCGAAGTAACCAAAAATAACAGATAAACAATAATAAGACTTCGGCCGCTTTTCTCCGAACTTGGCCGATTGGGTATTCGAACTCAAAATGTGTTTGTTGGTGTTGAGTTTATTATTCTGAGTAGGTAAAATCCAAACTTGAAGGATTCACCAGATTTTGAGAGAAATTAACTCAAATTTTTTCTAAGATTAAAGCCCACTAGGACTCTTTATCTAAAAACCTTTCAGATGAGATACATCTGCAAATGGTAGCATTGTAATTCTTATGAAGTCTGTTTCAATACGTAACCATCCAGAAACTTTTTTGATATTGGTCGGCTCCGGAATAATAGAGAGGCCGATCCCCCAAAGTTATCAGACATTGAAACATGGGTTCCCATAGGTAGTAACTCTTTCTGAAAGATTTTAGGCAAAAGATTATCCTAAATGACATTGTCCATTTAAGTTCAGATTCTAGCTCTGTGTGATTAAGAGAAGGTATAAATCTATTATTCATATATCACATTGTCTTTCTAACAAATATCCAACCTAATCACCCTTTTCGCTTATGTAACCTTGAAATCAATGCAGCAAGGGTCCCACATGGCGGAGAAGCCCCACCATTTTGACATCAGTTCAAAGCTTCCTCATTCCATCGAAATCGGTATCCCTACAAAGTACGCCAAAAATAGAGCACTGCATGGAATTGCTATTGCTGCAGCCTTGAAAGAATGAGTTCAAGTCAATCAACTGCGCCGGTTGCTTCTGGTCAGTCTGGAACAAATGTAGGTGGGAATGCTCAACAGACTGCGGGCTCTGAGTCTGAAGAAGTATGGGATGAAGCAAAACTCGAGCAGGCGATGAAAACTCTAAAGGAAATGCATATTCAAGTCAGCCCCTTCTTTCCCCAAAGAAAATCACAATGAGTATTAGCTGACACGGTATTTAGTGTCGCAATCTACGATCTACAATTCCAAGACTGCTTACGCCTTTGGCAACCAAGCAGCAATCACGTACGTTCCAATTCTACGACTTCATTTCCCAGCTTCTGCCTTTTGTAGCTGACCAATACAAAAAGCCGAGCAGCTCTTTTCTTCCTTTCAGCAAGCCGCAACAACTTCAAATAAGGAAGTACGAGATTTCACACGATTGATGAAGGATGAAGAGGGTGTGAAGCTCTTTGAACATGCAAAGAAGAGTCGAGCTGAGAATCCACATGGGATAAAGCCATGGAGAGTTACAGAACATCCTGATTGGCTTGATAGAGATACATGATATTCTCTCCACGGTAATACGTTTCGACATGCTCAGACCGGAAAATGTGCTATAAAATCTAGGCGTGTCTGCGGACTTTTGGGTAGAGGGCAGGTCTTGGGATATCCGGCACTGGGCGTTAGACAATTTTGATAGCACACGATGGGAAACACATATTTTGATATCCCAACAACCTAGAGCGTAATGCTCCTAACAATAGTAATAATACCCCTTCTCTATTCTACGATTAATTATGAATCTACTCATATAATTCCCACTTTACTGCACAGGATCTATCTCGAAAGACTCTGAGCATTTGAAATGTCCAATGGCAGCCGAAGGATTCTGAAGATTACTCGTGTTCCTGAGCTCAGGCCTTATCAACATTATTGTAGAGCACTGTAACATACAACGAGCAATGTCACATTCATGGATGATTTAAACACGCAATCATTACCTCTCTCAAGAGAAATGGTAAATCTTGAAATAATCGTATGAATGTAAATATGTAACCAGTGGATAATCAATTATATGAATGAAATTGACAATGCATCGACTTCTTTCAAGGTTCAGAACAATGTGCTAACTAATCGGATGCCGATTTCTTATTGGCTTATGATAATCTTTCCGACCTTGAAGCTGTGTCCTCAACCAACCCCAAAATTGAGTGAATAGTATAGAATTGAATTTACAAATTCGTCAGTAATCTTCATTCTTTATTACTTTGATAATTTATTTATTCAATTCAAGTTGATGCGTACTTGCCACTATTCAACTTATTGATCTTTTTGTTAGGGCACGAAGCCATTTTGGTGCCAAAAAGGTCGCTTAATTTTTTTCTGCCCCGCGCATCAACAATCCTACGGGCAACCTTTTCGACACCTCTAGGCTTACCAAATCTCAACACCATCAACATGTCTAGATTTTTCCGCGGTGATAGCTCCAGCGACAGCTCCTCCGACGAGGAGGAGGATCTCTATTCCGATGACGAAGAAGTTCAAGAACAACCCGAAGAAGAATCTTCCGAAGATGATTCTGAGGAGGACGATGATGATGATGACGACTCCGACTCCAGCAGCGATGATGGAGTTGGCAAAAAGACCGGAGCGAACGCTTTCTTGAAGGACGATTCCGATTCCGATAGTGAGAGTAGTGGAGATGAGGGCGTGAAGGTCGTCAAGTCTGCGAAGAACAAGCGATTCGAAGAACTCGAGGCAACCGCAAAAGCTATTGAAAATGGCGAGAAGATCAACGATTGGGGATCGATCTCAGCAGGTCAGTAAATTTTAAATAAAAAAATTACCTGGAAACATAGCTAATTAATTTGTTGTAGAGTTCGACAAATTGAACCGTCAAGTCGCCAAACTTCTACAATCAGGCACAACCCCAAAGGTCTACATCAAAGCTATTGCCGATTTGGAGGATTTCATGAATGAGACCTTGGCAAAGCAGAAGGTGACACCAAAGAAGATGAACGCCACAAATTCTCGCGGTTTGAACGCTGTTAAGCAGAAGATCAAGAAGGCCAGCAAGGAGCACCAGAAGGACCTAGAATCATTCAGAGCCGATAAGGACGCGTACATGGAATCAGAAGACGAGGAAGTTGTGGCACCAAAACAAAAGAAAGCAAAATCCTCTTCTGCAGCAGAGGATGTTGCCGCCGATGATGATGATGAAGGATGGGGAACCGTTGGTAAGGGTGGACGAACTCTTCAATTCACACCAGAGAGCATTCTCAAGCACTTGAGAACCATTCTCGAATCTAGAGGAAAAAAGAACACCGACCGCAATGAACAAATTAAAATTATGGAGAAGTTGTACGAAGTAGCAGCCACTCCATACCAACGCATCAGAGTCCTTTTAACCCTTATTTCAACGAGATTCGACATGACTACTGGTACTCAAACTTTCATGTCCCAAGAACAATGGAAGGCAGCAGAGAAGGAATTTGGAACCCTCTTGAGTGTCCTCGAGACAAGTCGAGAATATGTAGTTGTGGAGACTGCTGAACCTTGGGAGGATGATGAAAAGCTTCCTACAGTTGCCGAAGGCGCAAAGTTCGCGATTCCAGGAAGCGTCGTCTCCTATGTCGAAAGACTTGATGACGAACTTACAAGATCGCTTCAACACATTGATCCTCACACTGCTGAATACATCGAACGTCTTTCTGATGAGAGTGATCTTTACAACAACATTGTCAGAACTATGTTGTACCAGGAGGAAATCAGCAAGGACGCCAGCTTGAACGAGCCTCAACGTAGCTTGAACAGAGTCGTCATGAGAAGATTGGAGCACGTATACTTCAAGGTTTGTAACATCTCATTTCCGTATCAAATTCTTTACTTATTCGTTTATAGCCATCCGCAGTCATCAAGATCCTCGACGAGAACTGCTGGAAAGCAGTTCCTGCAGAGCTCGATTCCACCATCACACCACGCGGCTCCGTTGAAGATGCCAAGACCTTGGTCAACGTTCTCTGCAACTACCTCTACATCAACACCGAGGGTGAAGGACTTACCAAAGCAAGGGCCATGCTTTGCCAAATCTATTTCGAGGCTTTACACGACAACTACTACAAGGCCCGTGATATGATGCTTATGTCTCATTTGCAAGAGACTATTAATTCATTCGATGTTCACAGTCAAATTTTGTTCAACCGTACTCTTGTTCAAGTTGGTCTCTGTGCTTTCCGAGCTGGTTTGGTCTATGAGGCTCAAACCACCCTCCAAGAAATCTGTGGCAGTGGCCGTCAAAAGGAGTTGCTTGCCCAAGGTGTCATGATTCAAAGATATAACCAAGTCACACCAGATCAAGAACGTCTCGAAAAACAACGTCAACTCCCATTCCACATGCACATTAACCTCGAGCTTCTTGAATGCGTTTACCTCACTTGCAGTATGCTTCTCGAAATCCCTCTATTCGCACAAACTGGCTCATCTCCCGATATCAAGAAGAGAGTTATCAGCAAGACATACAGACGTATGCTCGAGTATCATGAGCGTCAAATCTTTACCGGACCTCCTGAAAACACCAGAGATCATGTCATGCAAGCATCAAAGGCTTTGGCCCAAGGTGAATGGAAGAGAGCAACCGAATTTATCCACTCGATTAAAATTTGGGAACTCATGTCCAAGCCTGAGGAGATCAAAACAATGCTCTCAGCGCAAATCCAAGAAGAAGGTCTCCGAACCTATCTCTTTACATACGCTCCTTATTACGATACTCTATCCGTCAACAGACTCTCATCAATGTTTGACCTCTCTGACCGAAAGGTTGCTGCCATCGTTAGCAAGATGATCAGCCACGAGGAACTTGCCGCCGCATTAGACCAAGTCAACTCTTCGATCATCTTCAGAAAGGGTGTTGAGTTGAGCAGACTCCAAAGCTTGGCATTGAGCCTCAGCGACAAAGCTAGTGGCTTGATTGAAAGCAACGAGCGTACGCTCGAGACAAGAACACAAGGCACAGCCAATGCTTTTGAAAGACAAGGCGGCCGAGGTGGTCGTGGTGGTAACAGAGGAGGCCGTGGTGGTAACCGTGGTGGACGTGGTGGTATCTCCAATGCTCCAAGGCAAGCTGGTGGAACACAATTTACCGGTGGCGCTTTGGGAGCTGCTGTAGGTAGCAGAGCTTAAATACGGATGGATAGATGTGTTAATGCATTGGGAATGGGTTGCTTACAGCGCTGTAATTGGCCCAAAGGCGTTTTAATGTAGGGCTTAGGAAAAGCTAGGTTCATGCTCCACGAAGACAAAAGAATGAAATTTTTTGATCATATTTTTGGTGTTACATTTAAGGCTCCTAGACCTGAATTCCTAAACGTTTATCACTTATTTTAATGTCTCATTTTGCGAGGTAGAAGATGTATCACATATTGAAATAGTCTCTTTTCGGATTCTAGGCAATCACGCACATCATAGTCGAAGAGACAATAAAATACGTTACCAGTTAACCCGGAGAAACATTTCACTGCCAATCTCAATTAGTATGTGGAACAATGTTACCAACAATAGAAGCTTCTAGGGTTTAGGTCTAGCAACGTAGTTTGTACATTGCATATCCATCTCATTCCATCTCGTCTCATTTCGCCAAAAACCATGTTACATGTGCACTCGAGACCACCGATTGACGGGACACTGCCCAATGACCTCCAACGTCTTGCCAAATCCGGCCTTCAATTGATCTGGTTCAGAATCTACAGCTTCGATATTCGATCTGAAAATCGTCATCTCTTTGAATCTCCAAATATTTAGATCAATTTCCCAAAAGCACTTACAAAAGTAGTACTCGCCGTCTCGTCACTCTGTACAATCACCGATGAATATTTACCCCAGATCTCACCTCACACAATGCGGGCTTCAGACTTCGGGTATGACTCCCCGCAACCGTGTTGCAGTGTACAGTGTAAAGCGATGGAGGGACTGACTGAAATATTTATGTATGTATGTATGTATGTCCGGCCGTTGGTGATTAGTGAGGAGGTGGTACGAAGTAGGTATGGTGGGTGGGACGGGTGGATGGATGGTACAGACTGGTATGGTGCTGAGAAAGTTTGAGTTTGTGGAGAAGTGCGGAGAACCTGGTGGGTGGTGAGTAATGTGGGATGAGGAATTGCGTGGGAGTGTTGTGTTGTTGTGTTGGTGGACTTTTGTGAGGTGGTGTGGTGTGGTGTGGTGGGGAGGTGGATGGGTGGATGGATTTGTATTTCGTGCATATCAGATCAGCTCACACTTTTGCAGTATGAATCTCTAGATATCATACTATATCATCCCATACCATCTCATCACACCCCATCCCATCCCATTCCGTCGAATCAAACCCAGCTGTTCCACTCAAAATCACATGCTAATCAACCCAAACATAACAACAAGAATCCCAAACGCAAAAACACGAGAAGAGAAGGTTACATGCACACCTCGTATCGAAACTTGATCAAATAATTTCTCGTACAGAGCGAGTATTGCACATGTTACAATTGTGACTTATGAGGTCATTGTAGAGTCGAGAGTTACTTACCGTAGGACTGTGGGAGAAGATCTGGGATGTGCAGGATTATTGTACTGCATTGTGCTGATGAATGGGGAAAGGTATTGGGGAGTACAGATACAGGGGATACATAGAACGAGATACGAGAAGTGTGTCTTCTGATCGATTTGTTAGGTAGGTGGATAGATGAGTAGATGGGTTTCATTTACAGATATCCCCGTGTTGTAAATCTATGACGTCCTCATATATTCAATCTCATAAACATAGATATGTGATACCACTCCTACAACTCCAAATCAAACCTATAAAATCTAAAAGCTTCCCCCTTCTTTTACCAAATCTTCACTTCTTCTTCATCTTTGAGTAGGGTCTTCAATATTTTCAATATCTTCAGTAGTTAAACCCATCAAAACAAACAAAAATGCACACCAATTTCCTCATCACCGCATTCGCAACATCAGCTCTCGCGGTCTCGGTCCCGCGCGCAGCGAGTTCTTCAAGTTTGATCCCGGATGTGCAGTGGAAGGTTTCGGGGTTTACGAGACGTGAGTTTAGATTTTTTCTAATGTTGGTTTTGGTGTTTGGATGTAGGATGTTTTGACGAGAACTGGAGTTTTGTTTTCCAGGGGGAGGAGGGGAAAGGAAGTGCACGAGCAGAAGGAGAAGGATGTGCATGAGGATGTGAGGATGTGACAAAGTGTGAAGGATACGAAATGACATAAAAGCGTGACGATATCACCAGAAAAACACACTAACCCATACCCAGCATGTACCGCCACAATCTGCACATACAACTTCACTATTAGTGTTATCCCCAGCAGTGGTCCTATAGTCAATAGTACGTTTCCTCTCCCTCTCCCCTCCCTCCCCTCTATCTCATCTAACACCCCCTCCCAGTCCCTTGCCTCTACAACGACGCCTCCTCCACCCCTCCCACATCCTCCACCCCCCAAACACACTCCTACTCCGCTCTATCCTGCAGCAGTACCCTCGTCGATGGCAAACCAGTCCCGAGCACTTGGCAGGTAAATTGGGGGTATAATCCTAATGGAGATTTTGCGGTCATGACGATTGTGGATACGGAAAAGGGGAATGATGCGTTTTTGTGAGTTTATCTTTCCTTTCTCTACTTTTCTGTTTTTGCTTGCACTCTTTTGCTGAGAGGGGTTGGGGATTGTCGGGTTTTCTGGGAGGAGAAATGAGAGGAGGGGGTTGATGTGTAAATTCATGCTCGCTTTCCATGGCCCCCTCTCACCCCTCCCCTCATTCTCCCCTTCCCCCTTCCTCTCCCCTCCTCTTCCCAATACTCCAACGAAGACCAATAAACTAACACCCCTCCTCCCCCATCCAGCGGCTGGAACCAAATAACCAGCACCACCACCTTCGAAGACAAAGGACCCAACACCGTTTACAAGCTTGGTACATTTACTTAAGTCTTGAGTATATTTCCATCTCAGTTCCGGCTTTCTGTTCTAGGTTTGGTTTTTGGTTTTGCTTTATGTGAAATGGATGGAGAGATGGATTTTCTTTCCTTTCTTCCCCCCTTTCAACTTTTCCATTCCCCTCGCCTGAAGGAGATCCGGAGGGGAGAATTACCGGGTGTTCTTTCCTTTCTTGGAGGGTAGGGGGGATATTGTTGTTTTCATTTTCATTCTCATTCTCATTCTTATTCTTATTCTGATTTTTGGCTTGATTTCAACTGCGCCGATTTGTGAATTAGGGAATTAAGGTGGCAAAAGGGCTGGATGGATGGATAAAAGAACGAAATTGCGCATCAAAAAGAGGAGAGATTCAGAAAATTGAATATTATGAATGCCAAAGTCTACCTACTTGGTATCCGAAGCCTCATCCAAAATAAAATTGACAAGTGAATAAACCTCGTTTGTCCAAAAGAAGAGACTACCAATATCAACACTCATACAAGAAGCCTGATTCGAGTAATTGTTGTATTCTTGATTCATCTATGATAAAAATCTTATGTATCCGACTATTGCACCGACTCCGCCGTGCTGTCCCAACCGAAGGACTAAAGGATATCTTCCAACGCCCATCGCCAATGCATGCATACAAATGCTATGGCACAAAAGTTTATTAAATCTCTCAGCCATTCCCGTCTACTACACCTTCATATATAAATCACCACCCTTTCCTGAACGCCTCGATATCTTATGAAATGCTCAATCGTATCAATTATTTGAATTCATCTTTCAAAACCCACTTAGCCCTCATCCTGCTATTCGTACCATGTTCACATATTGCAACTTCCGTTAGAGTATGCTTGAATTCAGCCGTCACTCGATCAGAAGTACAATATCGATCAAAATGGTTGACTACGGCCTGACTCGGAACTGAACCGCCCATTCTCTTGATGAAATCAACAATCATCTTGGCGAAATCATGGCGTTGACGCCCAGCTGGACGATTTGGAGTTGCAGCGCGTGAGCTACTCGAGCTAGAAGGCTGCGTGATACCTTGTCTGTTTGAAAGACTTGATAAAACACCTGATGAACTTGGACCTGCACCTCGTCGAACATTAGTCGGTCTACCAGCGGATCCAAATTCTCCAGTCCAAGTGACAGTTCCAGGTGCAATGCTTCTTGCTGCTTCTCCAGCACGTCTCAGTGCTGTAGCAGATTCTGCAGCAATTCTCTTGGCTTCACGCTCAATCATGCCACGGTCTGCCGCAACCTTCATCTTCCCATTAATAATTTGATCGTGTTCAAGAGCACTGTGGACTCCAGAACGAGCAAAAATACCTTCCATTAATCTGGACTCTTCATTGTTATCTTTGTCTCTCTCCTCGGAAGGATCGTTGAACTGTTCGAGTTCAGCAACACCAGCGAGGTTACGAAGATCGGATTCTGAATCACCTTGACCAGGGTCGGCAGACAAACTACGAGATGACGAAGGACTGGAAGTTTTGTTGAATTGAACCTCTGTGCCTTTGAACATCTCACCAGTCTCCGTGGTCCCACCATCTTGGTCACCAAGAGTGAAAAGGTCGTATAGGTCCTTCATGGCAAATGTTTGTCGCTGCTTCGGATCCTTGAGAATCTTGTTTGTCAGAAACTGTTTGAAAATTTGTCGATGATAGATCTTCTCTTCGATAGTGCCAGCAGTCATAAGTCGGTATATAGTGACCTCCTTCTTTTGACCAAGACGCCATGCACGTTCTCGAGCTTGTACGTCGGTGGATGGATTCCAATCAGGATCAAATATGATTACCCGATTTGCACCAGTGAGGTTGACTCCGAGACCCCCAACTTTAGTGGTAAGGAGAAACACATGCATATCAGGGTCATTGTTGAACTGATCAACGAGAGTCTGTCTATCCTTGACTGCTGTGCCACCATCCATACGGAGATAGTTGAATCCACCAAGTTTCTTGACGAACTCTTCAAGAATGTCAAGCATTTGAACACCTTGACTGAAGAGTAAAGTCTTGTGTCCATAGCCCTTCCACATCTGCAAGAGTGCCTTCACAACTTGCATTTTTCCAGATTTATTTCCATTGCCCCATTTGTAATCTGGCTTGGTTTTCAATCGTTTATCCAAAAGATCTGGATGATTGCAGATCTTGCGCAATATGTCAATGCCATAAAGCGATTGACGACTGCGATTTAGAATTGACTTCATGTCATCAGATGCAAGGAACATTTCATATGCATCTCTTTGAGGTCTCGTGAGCTTACAGAATAAAACTTGCTCACTCTTCTTTGGCAAATCTGCCGCAACATCAATCTTTAATCGTTGAAGTAAATATGGACTGATAGCATCTTTCAAAGTTTCAGCACATTTAGTAGCCGTGAGGACTTGTAGATTGGTGGCGTTCGCGTAACCTCCAATTTTGATGGGAACCTCGAATGATTGTCGGAAATTGACCAAAGTACCTAAACGCATAGGAAAGACGAAATCAAACAGTGACCACAGCTCTATTAACCCATTTTGCATGGGAGTACCCGAGAGAATCACACGATTGGGTGTTCGTAGTTCTTTGCAGTAGATAGTGACAGCAGTGTTAGGGTTTCGAATCTTATGTCCCTCGTCCAGTACAGCGTAATCCCAGTCAACATTGATGAGGGTATCACTATAGGTCTGAAGTCCAGCATATGTGGTGACCAAGACATGGCCATGCTTGACAACACGATCGACAATTTTCTGAGCAAGCTTTTGCGACTTTGGAGCTTTCTTGGTTGTTTGACCGTAGAGAATCTCGTCCTCTTCTTCTTCCAATCTGCCTTCATTTCCAACGTTGAGCATGCCGGTACCAGAACTATGCAAAATCGAAACTCTCAAAGCCGGCCACCATCGATGAAACTCATTAACCCATTGTCGAAGGACAGTTGCAGGAGCAACTACAATAACAGGCTTTGTAAGCTTTTTACTGTAATGTAAACCAGCTAAAAAGGATATCATCTGAATGGTCTTGCCAAGACCCATTTCATCCCCAATGATACCTCCAACTTGTTGATTGTAAAGTTCCGACAACCATTGAACACCAGTCTTTTGATAGTCAAAGAGCGCAGGGAAGATATCACCAGGCAACTTTAGACCGTTTTCAAACTCATGATCAGGTTGTCCTGGGCATGGCTTGAACCATTCCTTTTCCAAAGATTTTTCTGCAGCTGCATCTTCCTCATTTTGAGGATTATTTTCTAGATGCTGTCGTCGTGCAGCGCTTCGTTTCTCCACCCATTTTGCAAGGCGTGCTTGATACATATTCTCGTTTCCATCATCAATCCCGACCAAGCTCTGTGCCTCATCTGCTCGAGCTTTGCCCGGCTTAGACCTCTTCTTAGTCGCAGTACGAGCTGTCATCAAGGCATCATCTTCGTCATCTTCATCATCCAATTCCCCATCTTCATCGGCTAAATTTTCAGGGGTAAAAGCATCATCATCTGCTGGAGACGAACGAGCGGGGGATACATCTGCGAAGGAGCCATTCGCGAGCCTTCTCTTCTTTCGAGGACGAAGACCGAATTCACTCTCAGTTGTACTCAATTTAGTATCTGCGACATCTGCGAACCCTGGTAGACGAAGATTCTGATGTGATCTAGGCTCCGCTTGAGCATTTCCTGATCCGTTGTCATCCTTCTCTTCTGCGTCCCTTAGCGCATCAGTAAGTGCCGATTGAACATGATCGGTAGCTGCATCTGAAGTTTGTTGAAATGGGGTAATTTTTCCTGTGCGAATCAGGAATTCTCTTTGGCTTTCATTAGGCATTCGTCTGCTTCCACCAGCAGCATCAGCTTCGGCATGGTTATCATTGTGCTGATGTCTTTCATCAATTCGCTTTTGAATGTCGGTAATGTCATTCTTGAAAGCAAAAATGTCGGCTTCGATTTTCGAGATCTCATCCATGCACCTTTGGCGCATCAATGGATTGTTCGAGAGATTATTGAGACGGCGTTCTTGGGTATGTTTCTGAGTCTCGAGTTTCTCGATACCGTTCCGAACCTTTTCAATGCGCTTCTGATCCCGCTGATCTTCTTGCTCAATCATTACCAGATTGGCTTGGTTCGTAATGTCTCGTTCGAGGTCATCCTGATTGCGAACCGTTTCAGTCAAACCGGCTAGAGCACTGGCTTCATCTTGAGGTTGCTGCTGGCCAGTCTATTGCGAAAGTATGTTAGTATACTTAAATTAGAGGTTAGAACAGGGGAAAGCCTGGGGACCTAGAGCACTTTGAATGTCCGAGATAACCTTAAACACTGTGAAGTAGGATTCGTGGCAGGGGGACATTTCAACATACCAATCTCTCCGATCCAAGACTGTGGTCTTTTGTATCTATATCGCTATCGCTGAGAAGTGCTTCGTCGGCAACGACGGCTGCAGCTTCTTGGATAGTATCAGTGTGTTCTCGGTGAAGTCTAACATTGTGATGAGGTGGAGACATGCTCTCAGATTTGATATGAGCTGAATTATCACGACGATTGTGAGGCTCGGTAGATGAACTCATTTTGGCCATTCATCAACCCCGTGGACGTTGATTGAATCGGGAGAAATGGAAGATTGTTGTAAAAGGAAACCAGTACAATATGAAAGGGAATGTGTGTATTAATTTGTGGGCAGGGAGAAGGTTTGAAGAGGTCGAAGGTGAACACTACTAGGTAGGTACCGTAGGTAACGATGAGAGGCGACTACGGCACCGGGTGAAGTGAAATAATTAAGATACGGAAATCAAACCTTAGATTTTATTAAGAGTAGCAAACAGTTTACGGATAGTAAGTTAATGAAGTCGTCCTTCAATGAAGAGAACAAAGTGTGAAGATTCGCGGTCTCTCTTCACCATCGATAAACTCGATCACTTGTCACGATAGGAAGAGAGAAAAAAGGATTGATATCGGATGCTTCTTCACCGTATGCGTCATTGGATTGATGGTAGGGATTGATTGCTTGTGGAAATTAGGTAGATGCTGGGTAGGTGCTGGGT